ATAGATTTATTTTATTACAAAAACCAATTTTACTTTTAAAAATCTCTTTTAAAGAAGGAAGGACGGATAGATGGAAGGACTATGGATGGATCGATCGATGGTGGATTGATTAAAGGATGGATAGTAATACGAAGGAAGTGTTGATGGCTTAATGAATGGATGGCAGGTGAATGGTTCCTTGAATCAACGGTCGGAAGTTGGATGGCTGGATGTGGATGACGGATGGCTCAAACGATGCATTTATAGACAGATGATATGATGGTGGACGGTTGGATGTGGGAGGATAAATGGCTCGCTCTATTAGTAGGTCGATGGTTGGATGATGCATTTGTGGATGGATGGTGAATGAATAGGTGGATGGTTTAAGAAACGGATAACTTGATAGTGGATAGGTGGATTCTTGATGAATGTTTGCAGGGATGATGGATGGGTAGATGGACCAATCCGGATGATCATGTGTAATAAGAGGCAGGCACATGTTTATTATCATGTGCCAAAGTATGCCTTGTGCAGAGGTATGCACAAATAGGAGAAAACATCGTCTCTTACAACTATAATAGTATATAAATAATATATGGTGTGTTCAGCAAAATTTCATTAGATATCACTGGGATTTCAGTGCGTTCAGTGCCTAAGGTGGCAGAGTTTGCAAAAGACGATGTTCTTGTGAATCACATAGTGCATATTATTTATTTAGACCCTCAAGAGAAACACACAAGCTTCATCGAGAAGAAAATCCTCCCATCAATTTTTAAAAAATTGAATATGAAATAAAATCATTTTAAAAAAAAATACTCTACTAACTGTAAATTTATAACCTGTGGGATCAGCAAGATTCTCTTTTTAACAGAGCTCATTCTAAACCTAACGAAGCTACAAGATCTATTTTGCGGACGCATAATCCCAAACGCAACTGGCGCTTTAGGGTAGGTTTGACAAAACATAATCTTAAATATTCAAGATCATTTTATATTTTTTGTTTATATGTTTCCAGAATATGTGTTTCTGTGTGTGTTTGATTGCCTTCATATGGAAGGTTAACAAGTGCAAAGAGAAACACTGAAAGAGGACATTGCGTGCCAAGAGGAGCAACAAAACAAAGGAGAAATATAAAAGCCAAGAAATTTGTGCGTGAATAAGGAGAGAATAAAGAGGAGAGTGATGATCAATTTTCCATAGATGAACACAAATTTTAAGAGAGAAAAACACAAAAAAACAGTGGAAATAGAACACAGACAATTTTAAGAGAGAAACACTCAAAAAAATTGAGAATTTTCCATACACCCTTAAAGCAAACAAATTGATAGTCATTGTTATTTCTAAACTTTAAACCACAGGTTCTTATGGTACATAGAGAAGGGGGAAAACGCAACAACAAAAGAGAGAGTGCCTCAAAGGCTTCTAGTGTACAAGAAGAGGCTCAAAGGCTCAACGTCCTTTTCACCATTATAAACCTCTGCTCAAAGGCTCAATGTCTATTTCCAATTGTAAGAGGCTCAAAGGCTTCCTATTGTAAATCTGTGCTTCACTATTATAGAGCTCGCACCCCCCCCTCTCGTTCAACCCTACCAAAAAAACCCTAAACCTCGTCCAAACTGTCTACCCCACAAACCTTTACATAAAACCACCAAAAAAGCAATCTGTAGCAAAATCTTTGACTGTCCAGCCAAGTCTTAGAGGGATTGGAACCTCACTTACAGGGAGAGGTTAGGATTTGGCTCCCCGTAAAAATTCTTCCAGCGACCAATGTGCCGGATTCCGATTACTGGTTATACATCAATAGAGAATTGAGGCTAGAGAATCTATGGTTTCTGAAACTGAAAAAATTTAAGGGGGACCTTTAGAGAGAGAAAGAGGCATTTTAGGATTATTAGGGATAGGGTCTGGGGAGATGGAGAGCGAGGGTGAGAGGGGACAGAGTCTCACAAAGGTCGCCTCAAAAGAGAAAGATGGTAAGATGGGGAGGGGTTTTGGGGTTCATGCGAGTGAGCATGGACAAAAAGCGACGGAAAACTTGAATCCTGCAAAATTCAAGTCTTACTTGAACTTTGTGGGATTCCGATAATTAACAATGATTTATATTTTACAGAGTATTGTTTTTCTCAATCAAACACATCACAAACTCTTTCCATCTCTTCTAAAATCAAGATTATTATAGATTCTACAATATCCCAAAATATCAAAATATAATGGTGTCATCAAACATACCCTTATATATACATAGATATAGATCAATTTGTGCTAACTCAAAAAAAAAAAGTCCAAGTCTAAGGCAGACATGTCTAAATCATAGACACATGCACCAAATAATGTGGTGGAAGTGTGTCTTCACTGTCTTGCAAAATGAACACACATGACGTACAATGAAAAGAAGTGTGTCTTACAAACACTACACTTATCTTGTTTGTCCAATACATGGACTTGCATATCCACAAGGTAGACACACCATTTTGTGAATCACACAAATAAAAACAAATGGAACTTTTGAGACATGAATGTTGACACGGATTTCCAATGTCTATGTCCTGCATGTCAACACATGTCTAGTTATGTATGTCACATTCTCCTAAAAATGCATGCAACACGCATGTCGTTGCAACATAGCTAAGAACTTAAGAGATTTCATTAGAAATCAGAAATGTCAGAGGGTTAAAGTGTAATGACATTGTCTTTCTTTTTTTCCTTTTCTTTTTTTTGGGAGCAAGTAGAGGGTGTTTGCCCACGGTGTCAAAGACTTTGACGTATGTGAACAACATGACACCATGATGGCACGCTTAGCCTTGGAATGTATTATGACATCGTCAATTGCTTTTGAAATATATGGTAAGAAGACTGGGTTTTGATAACCAATGAATCCAGTAAAATCTAGTTTACATAACAACCACAAGCCATTTAAGAAAAGGAAATAATCACAAGGTCTTTAGTTATGAAAAGAAGGAGAGCAATGTTTTTTCCCGAATCCCATTTTCTTTTAAATGTCCATGATCGATATTATAGACAAATTTTTGGGTGAGCTGACAAGAAGAGATCAGTCGAGGGTTTCTTGCCAGGTGTGACTATTGAATTCATGGATGACAGCAAAGTGTATAGAGGTGTGCCTATGAGTTAAGAACTTACTCTGAAATGTGCTTTATTTCCTTTTTTACAATAAATCTGATATTTTTATTCGACAAAGCATACGGGCGAAGAATTAAAGAAGGTCATGGTGACATGAATAAAACTGCATAACGTGGTAGGTGTCAAGAGTGGATGGTGTGGACATAAATACCAGTCAATGACTAACCTAAGGCATTATCTGTGGATTGCTTCTCCCAGGGATGAACCTTTGGATTGGTTACCAAATGTGTGGAGAAAGTATTGGCTACCTGGTAAGGGAAACATTATTTTCTCGTTGGGAGCGTAAAAACTTTGATCATTGCATCCACCAATAACCCATTAGGCCCTTACAATTGGTAATTCCCTTCAAGAGGCCCACATCATTTGCATAAGAGTTGAAAAAGACATTGCACAGACTGATAATGGATAGAGATGATTGAGAATGGAAACAGATGCAGCTTTTGGGAATAGAAGCCATAGGAATAGATTTCTAGAAGATTACTTTCTAAGGTCATTTAATATGACTACTTGTGATAATGTTAGGTTCAAATCGAATTTCTTGGATCTCATTAGAAGGGATTTTAATGGATATAATGCTGCTTTGCATCCTTCAAGAGCTCTAAATGATGAAAATGTAGCAAGAAGTATGTTGAGATGGGAGTGCTAGCCCTCTAGAGAGTTTTATAAACTAATAACTGAAGCTCTTGGCTAGAGTAAGATTGGAGGAAAAAAGGCCCTCAAAAGGACTTCGTCTTGATGCACGAGGAATATGTTATAATTAATCATTCCTAACCTAGAGATTATGCACTTTCTTTGCAATGCAGACAATTATTAATCATCCAGTGTTGCAATGCGAATGCACTTTGAAAGTGTGAGGAACCACCAGAATCCCTTCATATTTATTTGAGAAACTAACCATTACCTCCATGGAACAAAAGCGAATTGTTATACTGATTGTGCGCTTGTGAGAGATGATCCAAGGATTTAAAAGGAAAGAAAACTAGAATATTTTGAGGGGCAGGCTCAAACAAGATGCACAGGACTCATATTAACTTATTAAGTGAACCTTAATGAGGGTATGTGACTAAGTTGAATACTGACAGTCTAAAGGCCGATCAAAGGTCCTGAGATAAATAACTCTTCTATCGCTGGTTTCAAAAATGCACAAAATGTGTATATGCCCCCTACCAATGGGGATTACAAAATTGGAAAGATTTCCTTAGCAAAATTCGTGGGCAATGTTAAAGCAAAATTGTAAACACAAAATTTCTATGGAAAATTGTGTGGGCCACTTGGTGTATATCTGCAGTTTTTTTAAGTATTAGAGAGGACATTGAAGCCACGCATATCTGATATCTAGGGTGAAAATGATTCTAGGGTCTCTAATACACAAATAGAGTGAAAACTAGTTAGAAGTTCCAAGTAATCAGCATTGTGTTGCAATGACATATAGGGAATGATGTGGTAAATGACAAGCCCTCGAGGAATACAAGCAAGTTTTCTTTTCCTCCTTAGTGTTTAAGTTTAAGATCATCCGGAGCTATTAACCATTGTAATAAAACAAAGAAATACTTATTTTAACTCTTGATGATTCAAATATACATAGATATATCCATACACAAAATTGTGTGTGCTTTCAGAGGAGAGAGCGAGAAAGATATATGAAACCAAATCTAAACAATTTAAACACAACTAGATTGATAATGAATAAGGGATTTGGAATGAAATGATTTTATTCTAGGTGCTTCTTCCAAAGATGATTCACCATGATTCAAACTAATAGCCTTCATACTTCTCAGAAAGGTAATGATTTGTCCAATACAAACAGTTCAATATTTTGATCATAGTTTGGAAGTGAAAATGAACAAAAAACAAAAAAATATAAAGGAAGGATCTCGACTTACCTGAGCTCAAAAAGCCATGTGGGATACAAACTTTTATAGTGATTTATAAGAGATTGTATCTCTGTTTTATGTTTGAACTCCAGACAAGATACCGCTGCACGTAAATCCTACAACAAGGTTTCTACCTCATGTAAATCTAAACTTGAATTGTATAATGAAAATAAAGCTAAAAACAAAAATCTCTAACTTGATAAACAGAATCATTCACAAAAACGAAAGTGAGCATGTTTTTAGTTCTTCAAAGTTACCCATACAACCAAAAGATGCCCTAACAAGTTCGGAACTTAGAGCGAGATATAATCAATCGAGCATAAATACTCACATTCACATATGAACTTTGAAGAAACAAGAATCTCATATAAAAGATGAAGAAGAGAATTTTTTTCTTTTCTTTTTTCTTTTTCTTTGTTCTTTTTTCTTTTTTCTTTTTTTATAACAAAGGAAATTATGATTGAGATATGATTAATATCGATATGTGAAAGATAATGGTGGGGCATAAACAATCCATTCATGAACCATAATACAGCTTCAAATTTCAAGCAAGCAAATCTAAAAAGTTAGTCAAGGGCTGAAGTAAAAGTACAAGCATGAGTAAGAACAACAGAACAGAAAAATACATGGAAACAAGCATTTCCATTTATACATGTGTAAGAGTACGGATCAACATCAGAAATAGAATAGACAATTTTCCATGGTCTGCAAAAATGGTGATGCCACAGTACATGTCCTTTCTTCTTTGATCAGAAAGGACCAACTAAATATTTTGATATGAAACCTGTAGATTAACTGACGCAAGATCGCTATTCCTCATAGGCTATAAAGTTGGACGTCTTCAGACTAATGAGCAATCTAGAAAGGAACAACTGACTACAGACCCAACAAAAGAATAGCAATTCCTGCTGGTCATCTAATCTGATTGAAACCAAAGATTGGTTTTCGTGCTCATTACAATTCTTGTACTTCAGTATCAAAAATCTTTAATTGTGTATAGAAAGTTACCCAAAAAATGTGACAAAAAACATACATACAAAGAATGCCAAAACTAAGCAAAACATACCTACAAAAGAATGCCAAAACTAAGCAATTCCCATAAAATGTGACAAAAAACATACAAATCTGAAAGAAAAATAAAAGACCCATATTAAAGCGGGGAAAAAAAGGAAATGAAGAAACAAACCTGCTCGTCCACAAGGTTAATGTCAGATAGCTTCTTGCTGAATTTATTTCCAGACCCGCTCAATTCTTTGGCCAAAAAGTAATTTCGTGAGAACCCAAACTCGTCCTCATCTCCATCATTGGTATCCATGAACTTCAAACGGAAATGGGCTTTTCTTCTCACCCAATCTCTTGCCCTTTTAAGTTACCCCCTCAGTCCCTGTGAGCATATTACCAAAACACCATCAATGCTTATGAAAAGGAGAAAAATATCTCATCCCTTTCCACAAGGTTTTAACCAAGCAATACAAACCAGAAAAAAATGAAAAAGGAGGCAACTCAGGACAAGTAAGTCTCAGCACCACTGCTCCAAGACCATCAGCAACTGCCCATTTCTGTTTAGAGGAAACCCTAGGAATGTCATAAATAAGGAAACTGCTGCGGCCCCATCTGCAATCCAAAAATTCATAAAACAACCTATGGATGTTATGATATCACGTAATGTGGAAGATATAACTCGAGCTTGAAACCAAGGTTTTAAACAACGGAGCGGTGAGGTTCGGAACTCCGGATACGGGAATAGGCGGGATTCAGCTTTAAAAAGCTTTACAAAAAGAAAAAAAAAGTTTTTCTAAAAAATAAAGATATTGTGTTATGTACTTTAGTTATTTTCAAAAATATGTAATATTGAAGATGTCATTTCTTTTTTTTTTAGTGTTTTATTGAATTCAATTTGGGGACTAATTTTTTTATAAATAGTTTTGATATATTATGTTTACAAAATAATTTGTACATATTATGTGATTTCTTGTGCAGAACTGAGGAGGAGAGTGATTTTTTATACTAATTGCATGATACTAGAAATATACATACAAATATACAAACATATGGGACCTCTCTCTCACACACATGGACCCGAATATGAACCGAGTATGGTCTGGGTCTAGCTTGACCTAAAGATTACCATTTAAAAGAATCACATTTAACTTAATTGCCCCAAAAACTTTAACAAAAACTTCCGCCTAAATTTAACCATTTAACATTTATTATCTCTAATAATGTCAAGATAAAAACGAATCAATATAACTAAAAAGATTAAAATTTTAAAACTCAAATCTCTTAGCTTCAAACCGTGGTGGATGACAATCGGGTCGGGCTTGGGTCGAGTCAACCTAGCCAATTTGGATTCCTAGCTTAGGTTTGGGTCAGGTCTGGTCCCTACACCCCCCATCAGGTCTAGGTAGACTTGTCTTGGAACTGATTGGGTCCCGGTCTGGGTCCACTCTATGAATGGTCAGGCAGGCCAAGGTCAGGGTCGACCCGATTCGGCCATGGTTGAACCATGACAAAAAAAAACTTGGGATCATATGCATATATAGCGTGTGTGGGGAGAGAGAGAGCTGAAAATTGAAAAAGATTTAAGATCATATACATATGTAGCATGGCTGAAGACAGAGAGGGAGGAGAGCTTGCAAGTTGGTGGTTGGAATGGTGAAGAGAGATAGGGCTGCAGCGAAAACATTTCCTTGTATTATATCCCCATGTAAAAGGATTTGCCCAAATATTGTTTTTCTTTGAAAAATAAAAATAGTATAAACTCTTGGGGAAAGGTTTCTATACTTCTCCTGCTGCATAGAAATCTATGCTTCCCGTAACATCCAACCGTTCAATTTTGATCAAGATAAGCACTCACCGTTTGATCTTAGATCCGGCGTCTCAAAGCATTTTATTTTTAGTGTTTTTTATACAAACTGTATGGATATGAAATTTGGTAGGTGTCATCTTCTCATTGGGGCCCACCTATAAAAAATATTAAAAATAATTTTTTGATAAAATATAATCATCAAAATACCCTGAAAATTTTAGGGCTATTTTAATCATTTTATTTTATTGGAAATAATTGTTTTTTATATTTTTCGCTCATGCGAGTTTAATAGAGGATTGAACATTCAAAATTTGGTGTCAAAATAATTTATAGAAAAAAATTAAAAATAAATTAGTGTAAAGACGTGACATTATGATTGGGGCACTCTTAACCTTCCATTCAGAATGGACGGTTGGTCAAGGAAAAGTATATAAGTTTTATGTGGTAGGAAAAGCATAAAAAGCTTGTCCTAAACTCCTATTTTATGTTTTTAAAATCTTCAGGCTCTCTAAACTATTATGACCTTTTACTTTACCTGCTAAGTTTGAAATACACTCTGCCCATAGTTGGTTTCCTTCCTTACTCATACTCTGAATAATTCTATTATCTTTTTCATTACAGGGCCCGCTTCTCAAGAATTAGCACCATCAGTACAACACTTGTTAATTGTTTCCTAACTACTTTTACTTAATGATGACAAAAAAAATTAGGAATTGATCAAATATAATACATATAGATATAGGAAAATAGTTTGATAGGGCTGCAAATATGTCAAAATAAGTTAAGCCTCACTTCATAATTCATTAAAAATTGCAATTTCAGTATTAGAAAACCATTATATCAATCATCTTGGCTTGAATATTATGGTTGTGAAAAAAATTAAAATTTCAAGCTCTAAAAATAATGTATATTGTAATAAATTATCTAGACCGTCTATTTTGCCCTAAAAATAAGTGTTCAAATATCTGTAAGATCCATACTATTTTTTTAGTTTCAAATTTTATTTTCTATATTAAAAATTGATTTTATGTCATCATGGAGATTTTGGTTGTTGAAAGTATTTTTCGGACGAGGATTTAAGGTGAGGCTTTATTTTGTTTTCGTAAAGCGTAGGCCTAAGATAAAAATTACTTAGAGTACCTTAATATGTAAGTTTAGTTGAACCCTAGTTTGAGTAAACACATTTATAGTTCATGTAACAAATGTATGGTTTTTTTTTTTCAAATACCCATTCTTGCTAACATAATAGAGCTATTGATTACATATATGGTTGACACGTGCCCTAATACTTTTTCCGAAATAATTCTGTTTTGCCTAAATAATGCCGTCTTTGAAAATAAAATGGTGACCATCCCTTCCATTGTGTTTTTATAATTCGAATCATGTAAGATCTCTACTCCACTGCTCCCTTCTTCAAAGTTGTGAATACATTACCCTCTGCTTTTCTTCCTCATCCAAAAATACAAAGAATATTTAATTATGGGCTTTCTTCCTTGCATGAGCACACTCCTTAAGAATCTCTTGAGTATATGGAACTTTAATTGGTTTTTCATTAAGTACATACAATATAAATATAAAGGAATAATATTTTTCACTTAATCAACAACGAAAATTAATATTTTTAGGGCTTATTTGGACGACAATTAATCTCATCATGAGTAAACTATCTTATTTAAATGGGAAAAATTATATACATATCTGTTATAGTTTGCATTATTATGGATCTATCGAATAGTTTTCGTTATTACCACTGTGTCTGTTTTTTTCATATCAAAACGGAAATTTTAAAAAATATGACTTTACCCTTTTTCGGTTGTTGCACAACCGAATTCAATGTATTTTGGTTGTTCAACAACCAAAAACGGGATTAGCTCGTTTAAACTTCCCGATAGTTTTAGTTGTTGAACAACCAAAATTATCTAATTTTCGGTTTTTCAACAACAGAAATTGGGCGGGGCTTGTTTTAAAATCATGGATCTGTTTCTTGGGCTTCACCGGTCTAGTTATCATCTCATTCCCCCCATTTCTCACTCTCTCTTACCTTTCTCACAATCAAAACGGTTATTTAGATTTGGATACAAGTATTTTGACGGATCATAACTGCATTTGACACATTTTGATAGCATTTAACGGATTTCAAATCTGTAGTGAGGGTATGTATTATCTGATTTGTTGTTCGTTAACATTGTATAAGATTATGATTTAAGGTTTCACACTTGAGTAGAAGCGGTCGATTTACAGTTTATTTGAAGGATTTTGCAAATACATAAATGACAATTTGTTTGAGTGATAGTTGGGTTTTTTAAGAAGTGTAATTTTTTGGGGTTTTTAATAACTGTGAATTTGGGGTTATTTTTAGATCTTGAATGATATACATGAGTTATTGAGTTATATTTGTTTCTTATTAATTGCTTAAATTTTTTAAAATTTGGGGTTATTGAGAACTACAAATTTGGGGGTTCAATTAGAACTCGAAATGAATTCATCTGCAATTTAAAATCAATAACTTAATATAGCTAAATGTGTTGTTGGATGTTGCCTTTGTATTTGAAAATGTATAACTTATGCTATGGGTTTGCAATTTGAAATGAGTAGTATAATAAAATTGCTTTCTTTCTTTTTTTTGGATATCTTTGAATCTTTGACCCATCAGTGCTTTATTTTGATTTTTACTGGAGATATCTTTTTTCTTTTCTTTTTTTTTAAGCTTTTGGATATTGTTTGTTTCATTTTACGTTTTGGGGGTTTTGGTTTTTCAGTAGTTGAATAGGTTTGTGTTTTGTGACTGTATATAAATGAATGCATCTATAATTTGAAATATGTAGCTTAATTTAGCCCCCTCTGTTATTGGATGTTGCATTGGTCTGTGAAAATGTATGACCTATGCTATGTTGGATTTGTAATTTGAAATGAGTAGCTTAATACAGATTGTTGGATGTTACTCTGTGTTGTTGGATGTTGTTGTCTGTAGTTTGTTGTAATTATCATTTGGGTTATAATAAATGCAAAAAACAATAGTTGTCTTTATTTATTCCCCTTTGAACCAATATCGTAGTTGTCTGAAATGGTGCTTCAATTGCTCTTTCTTTTTATTTCTCATAGCTGTATGGGCTTATAATGAATAGGTGTGGGTTTTGTAACTTGAAATTTCTTCTCGATTTCCTTTTGTTTGTTATTCACTTAAGTTTTGCATAGTAATCATATGATTAACATGGTGACCATATGGGATTTTAGTGAATATAAGTCATGTCCATCCAGAGGGGGGAGTTGTGTCCATCCAAAGGGGGGATACCTAGGAGTTCCTCATGACCCTAGTTTGCTACAGCTTTATCCAAAACATTCATCATATTTTATATGGGAAGCTCTTTCCATTACTTTGTTATTTTTTAATAAATTGTAGTTTGTTTCAACATCATATGGGAAGTACATGTTTATATATTTATTGTGACTCATATGTTTTCTATTTATTATGTTCCAGGAAAAATAAGAAATTAGAATCGATGAGAAGATTTTTCAATTGAACGATTGACATCTAACAGATGAGCAAGTTCAATTAGTGAACGCATTTATATTGGGTGCTCTATCTATCATCCGGCCAAGTTGAATTGATCATCCTTTGGTCGTAACCAATACAGAGAGGTGACGTTCTGAGACCAATTCATTCCATTACCACATTCAAATTGGTGAGATGACACCAACTTTATTTGATGTATACGAGATATTACGACTGGTTGTGGATGGCGAGCCTGTTACATGTCGTCCTATTAGTAACCTCCTGGAGTTCATCGAAAACAATTTGGGTATAGTGCCTACTGGAGGCAACCTGACAGTCATCAAGCATTCATGGTTGAAAGCCAATTTTAGGGAATTGCCACCTGATATAACCCCTGTGGAAGTAGTCAAATAACCCTAT